GGTTTTGTCTTGCAGAGCTCCATGGAGGGAATCAAACAAGTAGACATTGTTATGAAGGAGCAAAAACAATGAGGGTCTAATGATAATTGTAGAATACAAACCCTGTTAATTATAATCTTGTATATATAATTTGTATGTCTCAAATACAATAATATACTTACCCTTCCAGTAAGGCGTAAAATATAATTTCTTTTTTTATCTAAGTCATTGTGATCATCATGTAGATCGACTTCACTTCTGTAATATTTATTACTTTTTGCAAGTTTTGAGGACACATGAAGCCATATATGCCCTCAAGTCCTTTATCTTGGTAGACATGGGTAAAGTATCTATTATTCAAATAAGAAAATTAGAAAATGTATATGTATAACATGAAATAAGAAAATGATATTGTAACTTATAAAATAGCCAATTGCATGAAGGCTATATCTAGCTCCTGAAAGTTGAAGAACTAAACGATGTCCTTCTATCAATAGTGAAGTCTTATGTGAAATCTAAACTCACAACCCCCAGTGACATTTTGAAAGTAACCGGTTGCTCCATATTTTGCACCATAGAATGAAGAATCGCCAAGCTTCCATACATAACCTTAACATCGACAGTAAGAGGCTTGAGGACAGGAACTGTGCTCTTTGTCGCCTTCTTCACTGTTGCTTTCTTTGCCATTACTACTGGCTTTCTAACAAGTCTTCTTGGTCACAAAATAAAATTTTCTTTAGCCTGTGCCAGTAATCAAGCCTTATCAATAGGGTTGGGCACTGGTGTACTACTTGACCATTATGGATTTTATCCACTATCACCCTTACTTGATCCCTTGGTACTTTCTTGCCATTAATTGTTGTGCTCGAGAATGCTCGACCATTAGCAACATGGTAAGATGAACCTTCAGAGTCCACACAAAGAGCACACGGTAGTCTATTATCTCAGGCATGGTTAGGGCTAAGGTCAGGTCAAACACTGTCAGCTATTGCATTTGATTATTACTGCCCTTCCCTTTTTTAATCATAGGTGAACCTTAAAACATAGAAAGAAATTACTTAAGGCACGTTAATTAAATTTAAATGGATGAATTGAATCTTGAGAAGATGCGTGATTATTACCTGTGACAGTTTAGACACTCGAGGCATTTGAAATTCAATTGCGCCTATCATCATTATAGCTTGTTAAAACTTGACATCAAACTCTTCCATCTTTTGTATCTCTGCCTTATGTTCTTGACTGAGTTGAGCTTGAACTTTCTTTGTTTCTTCTTGTAATCGCTGACCAAGCTCCTCTTTAGATACCATGTCAGTGAAGGATAAACCAGTGCTTCTTTGTAAACTAGGGCTAAAAATTGTTTAATACCAATTCCTTTAGGGACCCCTCTAACTCTACTAGGATAGTCATCTTTTCAAATCACAGTCGCCAAGATATCCATCCATCTATGAAGAATGAATGTGCTTGGGATACTTGTTTCTCAAGTGTATCCTATAACATAAAAGCAACAATTCAATTTAAGATAACTGAAAAAGCATTTAATGAAGCATAATGTTTGATATTACTTACAATTTTCTCAACAACAACAGTGGCCTCTAAAGTGATATATTAACCCTTCTTAATCCTCGTCACCTTCCATTTTTCTTGGCTAGAAGGATGCTAGATGGGTGGAATGACTCCAATAGGGTCTAAAAGTAATAGCCATCTGTGCAGCTTCCAACTGCTCCCCCATCATATTTCTTTCTAAGCCGTTGTACGCTCCACGGGGCATGGTATGCGGTTAGACATTTAGCTTAGATATTAGCTTATTTTTCTTACTCAGTGCCTTTGATAATGAAACAAATTTAACAAAGTTAGTTTAGTAAAATAAAATATAAATTTATTAATGGCTAAGTGTGAAGAAACCAAACCTAAAATGTAGGGTCTTCGTGCTGCTTGACAAATTTCTCCCATGCCTCATCCCTAATAAAAGAGAATCGATCCTTGGGATGCTCACCCTTTTTTCTCCCACAGAGATACTCCCTTATAAGCATAGATTTAAAATCTCTCTACCGAATTCATCAAGTTGCTTTAATACATGGTGTTTCATCTCCTTTGTTGTAGAAATATCAAATGTGAGATACAATAAAATATAATAAAGTTAGACGAAGTAAATAATCAATTATAATTGAAACAAATATAGGAAAGATGGAATTCGTGAGGTACCAAAACATCCTCCCAAAGCTTTTCCTTTACATTTTTGTCTATCATCTTCCAATTAGAAATATCAATGCCAATCTTACTGCATACTAGATAACTCATATAACTGTTAAACTGAGTCCCCTCAGAAGCTATTCCCTTCAAATCATCATTAAACTGTATTGTTATCCTCGTGGGCTGTGTGGTATCATCATGCAAAGCTAACTTCTTCATATGGGTTAGTCTTCTACCCCTTTTCTTTCTAGTAAAAGAGTTGTTGTTGCCAGAACCCTTTTGATTGGATCCGTCCATTTTTTGTTCAAAGAAAAATCAACAAATGTAAGAATAAGAAACATCAAGTAAATTTAATAAGAAATATCACATTATGAATACATAATGGAAGATTTGGTGTGGCAGGCTTGATCCTCTACAAATTTGACATTTATTGTGACAAAATACTTTTGAAGTAAGGGAGAGTAAAATTTATAGTCATTTTGGTATGATGAATATCCTAAAAATAGGTATTTAATGGCTCAGGTTCAAATTTTCCTCTTTCATTGCGGTAAACATAGGCTAAACATCCGAAAACATTCAAAAGGAGATTAGTGGCAAGTCAAGCGTTTGGGTAGGCTTGTGCAAGAAGATTAATTGGTGTCTTAAAGTTGAGGGTCTTGGAAGGTAGCCTATTGATTGGGTGCACAACTATAAGGGAGTGTTTAGGTAGCAAGCAAAACCATATTTTGGGGATCCTACCATCCAAATACCATAATTTCTTGCAAAATCACTTTTTGATTGAAAACCATGATTTGGAAAAAAAAAAAAAAGCCAAACACCACAATTTTTTGCAAAATTACTTTTGATCTGTTGAAAACCGTGGTTTGGGGTATAAAACCGTGGTTTTCATGAAGTGATATTTTTCTTTTTTGCTTTTGTAGTTATAAAACCATGGTTTGGGATATAAAAATATATTTTAATCTTATATTTTTTTTAAAAAAAATATGTACACATATTAATTACTACCTCTGATTTTTAATATAAGAAATAGATAGCTAATTTATCAATATTAAGAAAATCATTTAATAAATTAGTTATTTATAGTAAATATGTGTTGCATTCCTTAAAATATTTGTTAGTCACATGTGTTGGAACTACTATTTGATGGACCTTCAACATGTGCAAATCAATATGAAGCCTATTTTGAAAAAATTAAATAAATTTGTGAGATAAAGTAGATTGGGATCCAATTAGTTATTATATTAAGGACCGAAGATAATATTAATTAGTTATATTTTTTCACATGTCATTAATTATTTACAAATTTATTATTTGAAACAAAAATACTACTATAAATTAAAATATATTTTATGTAATTATCATATTAACTCATATCATTTTTAGTAATTTGCACATAAAAATGATTCTGATAACAACTATCCAAATATTTTTACTTTATCAAAATGACTTTTTATACAAAATTTATTATTCCAAATTCTATTCTTTCAAAATCTATTATTCAGAAGCTATTCTTAAAATCATGGTTTGATTTTTATCTAAATACCCCTAAGCATTAATTAGGGTTACGGTTTTAAGCCCACGCCCAATTCTTCTTCAGTCGCGATTAAAAGATTATTTTTCCTATTTAATAGCCACAATTTTAAAGGTAGCACCCTAGTCAATTATATTGCTTTAAGAAGAAAACATCAAGAATGCCTATGTTTTTTTGGTACAAGAATGCCAATAGACACGCACACACACATATGTAACTATTTAACCACAAAGGAACATGTCAAAAAATTCCTATTGTGAAATAATATATCTAGAACCTGGCTTATCTCGTTTTCCGTTGGGGTCCTCCGCCGGTCTTTAACTCAGAACTACACCCTTATTAAGTACTACCTCCGGTCCTAATTATAAGAGCCAGTTAACTAATTTGAAGAGATTAAAGAAGTAAGTTGAGTTAGTTATTTATCCTAAATAGGTGTTGTCTTTTCTAAAATATCCTTGCTAATTAAGTGTATTGACTAGAACTATTATTGTTAGAAGGGCTACTTTGAGAAAAAATGTATAATTATGAGAGACAAAGTGGATTGTGGTCTTATATTTAGGACTAAAATAAAAGTCAAACAGGGTCTTATATTAAGGAGGTAGTAATAAAAAGAATTATTTAATACTGTTGTGCCGGAATGACATTTCAGTTCCGGGACCTTCTTTTTTTTTTTGGCGGGGGGGGTCACCGCCCGCCATTTTATCCAAGACGGTATAGTTTGGAGGTGAAAGAGGGCAGCCGGAAAAGGAGAGAAGCCAATCTAATATATATACTCGTAGCATACTTATATGGCAATATGTGTGTGTGTGTCTGTGTGTGAGGGGCGTACTTAATAGTTGAGCGAAATTGATATTTCCTTTACTTGGAAGCTTTCCTCTCCCCATTAATACAAGAAATCGTTACTGGAAAAAATAAATGGTCCTGTTTGGCCCTTCTTCATTTATGATGTTTTATTCAAAACTAGTGCTAATTAAAGTTCATCATCAGACTTTATTATGACAGCATAATTTGTTGTCTATCTTTCTTAGGTTTCAAAACCGATGATCAAGGTGGACACAAACACTTACAGACGCAGATGGCTAAAATTACAGGAATTAAAGTTGAATGAAGCCCTTGAGGGATCGAGATGCAGATAGAGAAAGAGCTTCTTTTATACACAGACACACACGCGCGCACGAGACGCTTTGATTAACAACACATGCTACTTTTTTTCCCTAAAACTTCCTAGATGTAAGACTTAGTTTGCAATGTAATTTACGCTATAAACTAAGTCCTATATATTTAGGACAGGTGGTATAAACTAAGAGAAGGAGAGAAATATGGCTAGAGAGAGAAACAAGACATATACGAAAGGACCCAGAATCATCATAGTAGAGCATCCGGCGAGCAGTGGTGCGCCGGACACGATCACGGGGACCGTGTGCCAGAGTATGATATGTTTCTTCCCTGCTTTGTTTCCGGAATCATCGACAGGGACATTTGCTCCTCCCCATAAGCTCTGTCGTTTTGTGTACGGCCCGGAGTTCTTGTACTTCACCGACGTCATGAAATCCACCCGGAAATGTGTTTTCCCTTCCACTTTTTTTGCCGTCCGGTTAAGTCCACTGCCATCAATCTCGACGGAAGCCCGCTTAAGCTCATTCATCTCGTAGCCCTGGTAGAACCCTTCGATAGTATAATTCCCTATCGGCCTGGTCCTACTCTGATCTAGGAAAATGCCGAAGGTGATGTTGATGTTGTCGTACTCGATCCCATATTCTGTGTTTACGTTATCAAACTCCACCGTGGAGACGATGGTGGGGTTGGAAGAGGTCTTCAAGGTTTCGTTCAGAGCAGGAACGTTGAAGATCGTGACATAACATTTGGGTTCCATGGGTTCCAGCGATGGCCAAAGAAACAATGCTGGGAGACACAGACAGATTATGAAGCCAATATAACACATGCAACATGTTAATCCTACTAGGGACGCCATTGTCTTTCCCGGCCGGTGACCGGCGTGTCACCCGCACTTTCCGACGGCGACTTGAAGTGTAAAGCAAGTAGCTAAGTCTCACCCCCCACTTTCCGAAAGCGATTTGAAGTGTGAAACAATTGTGATATATATATATATATATATATATATATATATGGAGATGAATGAGAAGCCGGTGGTAAGAAATTTCCAGGAATCAAAAATGGGATTTTTTTTGTTGTTGCCAGAATCAAAAATAGGATGTTTGCAGGAATGAGAGATACGAGTAATGCGGAAAAAGGAAAGATGAATGAGGTATTCGAACGAATAATTACTGATGATCGCCGCCCTTGGTTAATGGGCAAACAACTTACCAGCACATTTCTGTCAACATTTCTTCTCCATTTCCTCAAACATTCAATAGTTGAGAATTAATATATGCAATAAATATAACCATGACACCTATCAAATCGGCCACTTAGCTTGGCTTCTCAAGTACTCTTTTCGTCCCTTATTATAATATCTTTTTAACTAAATTATGTGATCTAATAAAACAGTTAAAATAAGTTAAAAGCAATTAATATGTAGCAAATACAATTTTTTTTAATTATACCCCTATATATAAATAGGTAAATGTGAGAGAGTAATAGTAAGATAAATGAAGAAAAAGAATGCATTAAATTAGGAGTAAAATAAATAATAATGCATTAACTACCTAGACAAACTTAAAAAGGATATTATAAAAAGAGACAGATCCATTCAAAGAATTGGATCTAATTATAAGCGACAGAGTAGTATCTAACTAGAGGTTTGATCCCGAGAATCTCGTGGCTAACAGTAAATTTAAATTTAAGTATTTTGACTAGATTTAATAGGTATTTTTCTTAAATATATTTGTTCTTTAATTAATATTATAATGATATTATGTTTTCGCCAACAATATTATAATGAGGTTACTGTAATATATTAAATCTCAACCATTGTATGTTGACTCAATGGTAGAGATAATAAATGGAGAGGAAGTTAAATAGAAGCATTCCTTCCCCGCAAAGTTCCCCCCAGTATCAACTCAAAATATTAGTCAAATCAAAAGGATTTGATTGTTTAAAAAATTAATTCAATCAAATAGTTTTTTTTTGCCTGCCAACTAATTAAACAGTTATATTATATATTGGAAATAAACATTATTTTTATATTTGATAAGCCTAGTAAAGTAAGTAGTGCAATAGCCTGATGATGCCCACACCTAAAACACCATAGCCAGACAACGACCCATATTAGAAACATATATACTGATGTAACTGTCTGCGTTAATGCTATTACTAAACAATCGAACCGACACATTCTAAAGGGGTAAAATGAAAAGGAATGTAAAAGTGATCTCAGAAAATAAAAAAGTAATATCATCTTGTTATTTTAAAAATAATAGAAATATTAAATAACGATTAATTCATACCCAAAATTATGATTTTTCCAAAATAGTTCCTAATGTCCCAACATTAATCCACACCCCAAATTTTCAACAACTACGATTTTTCCACAATATGACTAAAACGCCAATAGTACATCATAATTCAAATTAGCGCCACAAATCTCATAATTAATTAATCAAAATATTATTTAATAAATTCAAATTAACTTAAAATTACCATTAAAATATATGAATAAAGTGAAATAAAATATATTAAAATAATGATTTATCATCCAACATGTCTTTATATAAGGCTATAAGCTCCACATTGCGCAAACTCTTGTGCGTCTTAGGCTTTTGTTGTGGTACCAACCATTAATGCTTAAATGTCAAGGTAACGGGAAAAACATCTGTCATCATTAAATGCAGACAATAGTGTGAGAGAGAAGGGAAATTATGGATGTTTAGAGGGGATTGTTTTTGTGTATGTGTAATATAGATACGTACGTATTATTATGCTTTATTTGAAATTTAATAACTTTAGATGGTATAGTATATTAGTCAATTTTCATGTTTAATTTTTAATATTGAAGTGCAACATTACACTCCAATATAATTAGAACCATATTGAACTTATGTTGTTTAATTTTTATTAATTAATTTATTAATATTATTTCACGCAGCATAGTAAATAGTCATTGGATAGTGATATAGGAAAATAGGACCCCAGTTAGGATCTGCAGATCTCAAACGAAGTGCCTAATATATGCAATCTCAGTTTTAGGATTAATACTGCATTTATCGTATACTCATCATGTGTAGAATTGCAAGCATACATATCGATGCTTTCTTTTTTTTTTTTGCTGATAACATATATATGCCTTCATCTAAAGATGAAATTTACATATAAATGTAAATGTACTCAAATACCAATAATATATGATGACCATTTGGTCATATACTCAAATGTTCTTTTTCAAGCATTAAAAGCATATGTTAATTGCCTCAGTAAAGGGAATGAAATGGAGATGCCCATTTTCAATTTTAGTGTTGGTCGGCCATCGTAAATGCATTTTGAGTTGTGATACCTTGAAATTGTGTTAGGTGAGAGTTGCTTCCAAGCGGAAGCATATAAGAAAATAGTGGTTTTGATTTAAAGACGTATATAGAAGCTGAAAAGCAAAATCCTATTTCAAGTCACTAATTTTGTCACCAATTTCACCACGGAATTTTAAGTCACTAATTCTATTTCTTTTTTCGGCTAAACATAGATATTTTCTTATTGGGGCCAATCTTGTTTAAGGTACTATCAGGTACTAAATATAAGCAAATCTTCCAGTGAGGATTTGCTAAACCCTAAATCTGTCCTACAACAATTTATATAATAACATAATTAATAATATAATTATTTAAATATATTTTTAAATACAAAATAGATTGATATGTTTATGGGGTTGATGTTGACTAGGGCATCATTAGACGCTTGTTAAGACACAAAGATGAATTCTTTCACTATGTTTGGCTCAAAAGAGGAGAGGGAGGGATTTTAATGGAGGGAAATGGAGGTATTTTAATGACACCTTGTTTGGCATAGGAGGGGAAGGAAGGGAAGCTATCTTTAAATGGAATAAAGGGCTTAAATATCCCAGAAATATCCATGAAGAAGCATCTAGCACCTGAAAGTTTTTTTTTTTGCTCTTATATGTCCTAAAATTTTTATTTCATAGCATTTCTGTCCTAAATCGTTATTCACTGTTAAGTTTGACTATTAAAGACACTGGTCAAGCGCATAACTTAACAATTAAAATTAATGTAGGATAATGGCCACTATATTTTTGCTATGAAAATAAACTTTCAAAATATATAAGAGCCAAAAAAATTTTTAGGTACTAGGTTTTCCTTCATGGATACTTTTAGGATATTTACACACCTTATGCCATTTAAAAATTAACCATTTTACCCTTATAAAATGTAAATGAATTTTCTCTATTGTCTATTTTATCAATATGTAAATATGTATAAGGCAATTGATCAACTTGGGAAAAAAGAACACTGGATTGTGCTTTTGCGACAAGCACAACCCATTGAGAAAACAAAAAAAATCATATTTCTTGTTTGTTCTATTGGATTCTAAAGAAAAATCACATATTTACCTTTTTTTCTCTCCTTTTTCCCCCTTATTTTCAATTTTTAGTTAATTAAAAGATGCTTATTAATATTTTTACATAGCTTAAGTATTTTTATATAGCTTAAGTAGTTAAGTTAATATTATTACATATTCGTTAAAGAGAATATTAGTTAATATTTTGTATTTTGTTTATTTGTTTTCTTGTACATTTGGTTGTTGGCCCTTGGCCTAATGGAGCTTATAAATAAGGGTCAAGTCCCAGCTGTTAGGCATGTTCTCACAGTCCTATGGGCCTGATCATCAATAATAATCATTTCACATGGTATCCAAACCGTCAGGTTGCAAGGTGGGCTCAAGATGGCAGGTCCAGTTCTTGAAGCACACCATTTGCCCTGGTTCCTTCGTCCCTGCACTGTCATTTTGCAAAGGGAAAGTAGAGTTGCTACCTTGTTGTTTATCCTCTGGTTCTCAAAGCAAACCAATAAACCCTCACATATTGATTTTTGTGGTCAAAGGTCTCGCCACTCATTTAGTTCTCATTTCACCGATCAAGAAACCATGAATCTTGATCCATCATCACGTTCGCTTGTTCGGTTGATGGCGTCTTTGTTATTTTCTTTCTCCTTCTTAGTGTTTCATTCACAGCATGTCTGCCATCAATCAAGATCAATCTTTGTGAAGAATGGGAAAAGAGGAATGAAAGCGCTTTACCCTTAACATCTTGCATCGATTTCACACACCCTCTATATCTCCATCAGTCAGACACGCAGGCCGTCACCCTTGTGTCGCAGGTGCTTTGTGATTATGAAAACTATGAAGTCTGGAGTAGATCAATCCGTCTTGCTTTGTTTAGCAAGAACAAATTGGGAATAATCAATGGTACATGCCTTTGGGAGAAACAGGATCCAGACCTTTGTTCCTTATGGGATCAGTGTAATGCCATTGTTCTTTCTTAGCTGGTGAATTCCGTTGACAAATGTATTGCCAATGGCCTTGTTTTTTCAACCAATGCTAGGTCGGTATTGTTGGATTTAAAAGAATGTCTCCATAAGGCAGACAGGCTGAGAATCTTTGCAATTCATAAAGCTATCAGCTTGTTAACTCAAGGCTCTATGTCTGTTTCTGAATATTTTACAAGATTACAAGATCCTAGGGAAGAAGATAATGCACCGGCACCTTTGCCTTTGTGTCAGTGTCTGAGCACCCAGGAGTACACTAAAATGATATAATAGCAAAGGCTCTTGCAATTTCTTACTTCTCTCAATGATAACTATCAACAAGCCAAAAACCAAATTCTGTTACAATCTCCCCTCCCCATAGTCAACCAAGCTTATTCCATGATTTCCCGAGATGAATCTCAACAGATGATGTCTTCATATGTCC